GGGTTTAGGGTTTAGGGTTTAGGGTTCAGGGTTTAGGGTTTAGGGTATGGGATTTAGGGGTCAGAATTTAGGGTTTATGGTTTAGCGTTTGGGACTGGGGTTTGGGTTCGAGGGTTCAGGATTTAGGGTTTCGTGCCTGGGAGTGAGGGTTTAGGGTTTAGGGTTTAGGGATTAGGGTTTAGAGAAAGCTCAAATAAAAAGTGGCAGCTATAAGACCACCTCATCATAGGGGCTTATATTTAATGCTGCTGCTGCGGCTGCAGCTGCAGTTTCTGCTGCAGCAGCAGCAGCTGCTGCTGCAGCAGTAACTTATCAGTTTAGGGAGTCCACATAGCACAGAGGGGCGCAGCTGCGTGCATCAGCTGCAGCCGCTGCTGCTGCCACTGCTGCAGGAGCTGCTGCAGCTGCAGCTGCTGTAACTGCTGCCGCTGCTCGTTTGCTGCTGCTGCTGCTGCTGCTGCTGCTGCAGCGTTGGCTGACGCGCTTCCGGCTGCAGCCCGAACGGGGCGGCAGCGGAGAAGGACCTTCTTTGCCTTCGCCGCTGCTGCCTTCTCAAAGTCAAGAAATGATTCGCAGCAGTTGTTTATTAGAAGATGGTCCTTGGCTGCGGCTGTGCAGCTCTTTCAAGGGCAGCAGCAGCAGCAGCAGCAGCAGCGGCAGGAGCAGCAGCAGCAGCAGCGCCAGGTCCAGCGGCTCCGACTGGCTCCGCTCCTTCTCTGGGGGGGGCCTCGTTGTGCAGCCCCTGGCTCGGCCTGAGTCGCCTGCACTTGCTGCTGCTGTGCTTGCTGCTGCTGCTGCTGCTGCTGCTGCTGGCGACGAGCGCCCTGCAGACGGCCCTTCTGCTGCTGCTGCTGCTGCTGCTGCTGCGCCCCTGCCCTCCCCACGCAGCGACAGGCAAAGAGCCCAGCAGCACCCGATGGGCCCCCCGCCCCCTGTAACAGCAGCAGCTGCTGCACGTGGGGACCCCGCAGCAGCAGCAGCAGCAGCAGCAGCACATAGGCGACCCTCCCGCGGAGTCTCTCTGCAGCTAAGGCCTTCTTTTCAAAGATCTTTTCTCTTTCTTAGGCACTGCTATCCTTTCCGCAGAAGTGCAGCAGCAGCAGCAGCAGCAACTGAACCCGAGGGGGGCCGCCCCGGCCACGCCCTAAGGGTACTGGGGGGCCCCCCGGGGGCCCCACTTGGTACCTTCCGGCCTCTTGGGGGGCCCCCCGAGGCTCCATGGGCTCTAGGGGGCCCCCCAGGGGCCCCAGAGTTCCTCACAGGGGCCCCCGGGGGCCCCACGGGGGCCCCAGGGCCCCTAGGGCCCCAAAGGGGCCCCCCAAGCCATGGGGCCCCAGAGCTCCAGGGGGCCCCCGGGGCCTCAGAAAGCCCCCCAGCGGCCCCTGGTGGGCTTTCTGGGGGGGCCCCTGAGGGGCCCCCAGGGGCCCCTGAGGCCCCCGGGGGCCCCGGGGGCCCCGGGGCCCCCGGGGACCCCAAGGCCCCCATGTTTGGGGCTTTTGGGGCCCCCGAAACTGTTGCTAATATGAAAAGAACTGAAGAGCCCCTGGGGGCCCCCAGGGACCCCTGTGGGCCTGGGGTTTATATAGGAAGCGAAGATGAAAAAGAAGAAAGATTGGAAAGGATTAAAGAGCAGCAGAATCGAAGCAAAAGAGACGCAAGAGAAAGAAGGCGGGCTGGCTTTTCAGCAGCAGCAGCAGCAGCAGCAACAGCAGCAGCAGCAGCAACAGCAAGGAAGGCCTCCTTCGAAACGCTTGGCCGAGCCTCCTCGGTCAGCAGCAAACTGGCTGGAAAGCGAATAAATAAATAAATAAATAAATAAATAATTAATTAATTAATTAATTGATTAATTAATTAATTAAATTAAAAAAGAAAATAAGTAAAGAATAAAATGGCAAACAATATTAAATATTCTCCTCGCACTTATTTTGATTCTTTTTCTTCTTTCTCATTTTGTTTTTCCCATTCTTATTATTCTTTTATTGTTTTCACTTTTATGCCTTTTACTGTTTTTGTTCTATTTTGTTTTTATTCATTTAATTTATTTAATATATTTAATTATTTAATTATTTAATATATTTTTTATCTAATTTATTTAGTTTTTAATCATTGAATTGTTTAATTAATTTTATTTTATTCCTTTTTATCTCTTCTTAAGCCTTTAAATTCT